AAGGCCCCGCCCCCGGGGGCAGCTCCACCCCTCTCCCGGAAGGGCCCCGCCCCCGAAGACAGCTACACCCCTCTCCCGGAAAGGCCCCGCCCCCGAGGACAGCTCCACCCCTCCATACTGTCCTCCGCGCATGGGGAGCCTCTTCCCGCCGCGCCGGCCAGCACCAGATGCGGACCCAGCTTCGCACCCGTCGCACGCTCACCTTGCAAGTGTAGACAAGCTGGTAGTGCGCGGCCCCGGGCCCCGGCTCCGAGCTCAAACGCCGCCAGCCCCAGACCCCGGCCCCGGTCTGCCTTCTCCCCGCAGCCCCCGGACCGCCCCCGCGTCCCCACAACCACCTCAGGCCCGGCCCCTGGGGCCGCACGCGACTCAGTAGCGGCGGCACGCGGCTCAGCGCAGCCCGCAGCATCCCGCCCTCCGACCTCGGCTGCCCCGCCCCGCCCCGCCCCGCCCCGCGCGGCTGCAGCCGTGCCGCCGCCATCTTGGAAGCGGGCACGCGGCGTAAGTGCCCCTTTTCGGCTTCCGTCCGCCGACTGGCAGACCGTGCTCTGCTGCCCCCTGGGGGCGGGAGGTGCGCGCGCGGCTGGGAGGTGTACGCGGGAGCGAGGCCAGCAGAGGCTACGGTACCGGGACCCCGGTCGTTTATTTATGGAACTGCATTTCTGACACTGCCGCACGCATAGCTAGAGCACGCCTGTGCGAGTCCCGGTGCGTGCTCGCCGGCGCGCCTGGGCGGCTGCGCCCCTCCGGCTGGGCGCGGCGTCCTCCCGGCGCGCTGGGCTGGCTAGGAGCCCTCCGTGTCGGTGTTGTCGCTGCCCGTGGTGTTCTCCCAGTCCACCTCCCCCTGCCTCGAGCCGTGCTGCATCTTCCTGAGGGCGCGCTTCCTGCAGGGGCGAGCGCATGTCCGCAGGGCCGCTGCGCCCCCTCCCCGGCCAGCCTTCCCGGAGCCCGCCCAGGGCCGCCCACCGCGCACCTGCGGTAGTTCTCGAAGCTCTCCTTGAGGCGCCGCCGCTCCTTCTCGGGGGGCTCCCCGCCGCTCGGGCCTGCGTCCTGGGGGAGGAGCGAGGCTCAGGCTCCCGGAGCGGGGCGTGTCCCCGCCCCTGCGACCGCACACCCCGTGGGGGAGTGCGGTGTGCTGTCCCGCCTCTCGGAGGACAGGACAGAGCGGGCACACAGCCAGCTTGGCCTGCGCTCCAAGCCCACAGTGCCCGCGTCCTGCCCGCTCCCTCTGCCCACTGCCTCATCCAAGAAGGGGGGACTCGGCTTCCTGTTCCAAACAGTGCACCCCAAGAGCCCACGGGCAGAGACCCTTGCCATCACCCCCAGGCATCCAGGTTGAGCAATCAGCCTTCCCGGGGCTCCGTCACACGGAGGCCCATGCCAGCGGCGCCCTAGGGCAGCAGGGACCCCAGGGCAGCCTTACATTGGAGGTCAGTGGAAGCTGCTCCTCCTGCAGCACCACGAAGGGCTGCTGTGGGCTGTTCCTGTTGGCCGGGCCGCCTAGAACGGAGAATTGGGCCTGTCGGTCCTACCCAGCTGCTGGGACCACGCTTAGCATGGCCAACACCTGGCCACCTCCTGTCCCCTGAAGCTGCCAGGCCAGTCCTGCATCATCTCTTCAATCATCTCTGGGGGCTCTCACTTCAACCCCAAGAGGCCTCCCATTGTGTAGACAAGAGGACTGGAGCTCAAAGATGCCACTGCCCACTCCCGACTCCCTCTAGGCAGGCAGAGGCAGCTGGAAGCCCACCAGGCAGTGCCACGCCATCGACTCTGCTCCCGGGTGGGGGCTGGGGCACTGCAGCAGTCGGAGCAGAACATTCCAAGCTGTCTGGTCCCCTCAAAATTTGCCTCAGGCTCAGGACCCTCAGACAGAAGCTGCTCTTACGGGCTGGCTCCCCTAAACTGGCCAGGATGGGAGACTGGACATCTAGTCTCACTGACATCACAGGGGGAGAGACCCAGACCCAGGTCTCTCCCTGAGGCTGGCACCTTCCCTTCCTCGGCCTCTGACCCGGAAGCCCGCCCCAGCTCCTTCAAGGGGCCACACCACCCCTGGGTTGGGGCTCCCAGGGTCTCCCCTACCACTCACTGCCTGCTGGGTCCTGCCCGCCTGTCCCCATGTTGGGCTCCGTGTCCTGAAGCTCAGGTCCCTGGGCAGCGTTAGCCTGACCTGCTCCCTCACTTCTGCACCAGCTGGTCCTCTTTTGCCTCCCTTGGAGGCTGGCGGCAGGCCTGAGGCTGAGGAGGTCTGTCTGGCTTCCCACGCCACCTCCCTGCCCGGACCTCCCCACCTCCCCTCTGACAGCCACCTTCAGAGTGAGCCCCTCGACCCCTTGCCACCCCTTGTCACCCCTCAGGCCATCTCCCTGCCACCTCTGGCTGGCCCTGAGACACGCCCCTTCTCCATTCTGTTTGCACCTCCCACATTTGCTGGCCGACTTCCCCTGCCCCCTGCCCAAGAGGAAGCTCAGGGAGAGCAGGACGCCTCAGCTCTGCACTCCTGGGCCCAGAGTGGGCTCCCATGGAGGGACGTGCTCTCAACGTACACTCCTGGCTCTTGTTTGCTCACTGGGGAGCCTGGAGGGTTACTCGTCCCTCCAAGCCTCAGTGTCCCCATCTGTAAAGTAGGGTTGTGGAGGATCAGTGGGACAGGGCTCTACCCTGTCAGGCCTGGAGCCAACTAAGGTGACAAGGCCAGACTCGGCCGTGAGAAGCTGCCCCCTCCTTACCTTTGTCTGAGAGCTGGACGGCCTCCAGGTCCAGGGGGAGTGAGAGCTTCCAGGGAGAGAGAGAGATGGGCATCCAGTCAGACTGCCACCCTCCAGGGACCCACCTAACTTGCCGCGCTGTTCCTCAGAGACCTGGCAGGAAGGCCCGCCCCAAGGGCCACATGGCGGCCGGCCGCCGGCCCGCCCAGGTGAGGCCTGGGAGGAGAGCAGCTGGCCCAGCTCCCACAGGGGACGGTGACCTGGAGCCCACCCTGAGGCTCACACTCACCTCCTGGGAGTTCCTGGGTGAGCTGTCCTCCAGGTCAGAGCTCTGTGGTCACAGAAGAGGGGTCGGTCAGCAGGCTGTGGGGAAGCCCAGCCACCCCCAGGGCCTGGGGTGGGGTGGGGCTTGGTGAGGGGTCCCCGGCCAGCCCCTGTCCTCAGGCCCCTCTCCAGCCCACGGTTGGCCCTGGCCCCCGCCCAGAACACCCCTCCCTCCCCCTCCTGACACCCAGAGTGGCCTGCCGGGAGGAGGGCCCCTTACAGAGGACAGAAGGGGCTCAGGAAGGCCTGGGACCAGCCCAGGGTCATGGTGGAGCAATAGCCGAGCCAGGCCTGGACCTGGCCTGCCTGGTGTCCCCTCCTCTGGGCTCTGGTGTCTCTGGGGACACGCTTGCCCCTGAGGGCCAGGCCCCTGTGCTCTACTGTGGCAGGGCTGCAGCTCTGACCGGCGTGCACCACAAAGGCCCCCCAGCCCCTGGGAGGCCCACCAGGACGAGCGTGTCCAGCTGCTGCCGCTTGAGCCTGCCCTCCACGGCCAGCAGCTGGCCCTCACACTGGAAGAGCTGAAGCTGTAGCTCGTCTGCCTTCTCGGCCAGCTCCCGGACCTGCTTCCGCAGCACGTCCTTCTCCTGCAGGCTCCGTGAGTGCTGTGCATGCAGTTCCTCCCGCGTGGTGATGGCCTGTGGGGACGTCACAGGGCAGGCTCTGTCTGGGAGCTGCGTGGCCGCTGGGAGACCCCAGGCCGCCCCCGCCTCTCAGCCCACGGTCAGTGCTTGAGGGTTTGCAGGAGCAATAGAGTTCCGAAGGACTCCCGGAACGTGAAGATAAAGCCTCCGGCCCAAATCCCAGAATAGCCCCTGCCGTCCCTGCGCCCTCCCCGAGTCCTCCATTCCAGTGCACGTCCAGCACGGATTCATGCCCTTTGCACGGCTTTTATCAGTCTGCCGTGTAACTTGGTACCAAGAACATGGTTAATGGCCATGTCATGTGCTTTATTACGCCCATCCCCTCCACGCTCTCCAGCCAGACCGCACCTGAGGACACAACTCTGACCCACACCGAGCGGCCTGCTGGGAGCCTGCCCGCTGCCTGGAGGCTAACCCACATCCCCTGGAGCCCTCGGCCCCAAACAGCCAGGACTTGATGAATCACTGAGAATCGCCTTCATTTGTGTCCCTGCTTCCGACTTAGGACCCACCGGAGAGAATCCCAGCCGCTCACTTGGGCTGCCCGGCCCCAGGTCCCTGGCTGGTGGCCTGCCTTCCGTGGCTACAGCGCTTTCCCCTCCTCTGCCTGCCCCGAGGGAAGGTGGCAGCCGGGCCCCCTGGCCTGGTGGTGCTGCTTCCCGCTTCCCACTACCACGCACGGGGAGGCTTTCCGACATGGGACTGCAGGGCCAGAGGCTCCGAACACAGGCTGCCAGTCCCCTCCCGACAGGCACTGAAGCATCGGCCATACCTGACCAGAAAGGACCCCGCGTGACGTGGCGGGAAGGTGGTGGAAAGCAGTGATGGGGATACAGTCCAGACGGGCTCCTGCCTCCGGGCCCCAGGAGCGCAGCCAGCCAGCCCAAGTGCCAACGGTGTTTGAAGTTAAAAAAGCTGTTTGCTGGGGTGCCTGGGTGGCTCCATCGGGTGAGCGTCCCACTCTTGATTTCGGCTCAGGTCATGGTCTCAGGGGTGGTGAGATCAAGCCCCACTCAGCGGGGAGTCTGCTTAGGATTCTCTCCCCCTCTGCCCCTCCCCACCACACGCACTCTCTCTTGCTCTCTCTAAAATAAATACATCTTTAAAAAAATAAAAAAGCTATTTGCAAACAAGACAGCTTCCATTTTCTAAGACAAAAATGAAACTATACGTATATTGAAAAGAATCTGAAGGTACAACCAGCCAGTGGAGTAGTTTTCCTGGCAGTGGGGGAAGGGGTCACCTTCATGATTGTTCACATTTTTCAAGGAGCTCTCGGACAAGTGCCCTCCCCCGAAAGGGCAAAGGGTGAGGCGCCGAGGCTGGGGGAACGCGCCCCACCCTGGGGTGGGAGGCGGCGAGGTGCCTACCTGGTCCCTCTCGATGGCCACCTCCTCCATCTGCTGCAGGATGGCCTCGATGCGGTCCTTGTACATCTTGGAGTCCTTCCGTAGGACCAGGCACTGCAGCTCGAACATCTCTTTCTCCTCCACGCACTACGGGAGTCAGCAGCTAGCCCCCACCGCCCGTTCTGGCCCCTGGTCAGTCAAGCCCAGCAGAGGGAGGGGGAGGCTGCTTGAGGCCCTGGGTCCCTGCCAACCCTGAACTTCCAGACCAAAGCCTGGGCCTGCCCAGCCTGGGGGAGTACGGGCTGGGAGTGGGGTGAGGAGGCCAAGCCCCTGCACCTCCAGGAAGGGGTGAAGTCGGGGTGTGAATTCCAGGGGCTGTGTGCACACAGGGCAGTCCCTCAGCCCACCCGGCCTGGCTTGGCCCAGGCTGAAGTCCACCTGCCCCGGCGGCATACCCGGGCACGCAGAGCCTCGCCCTGCCGCAGGTCCTTGCGCAGAGAGAGGATGGTGTTGGCTTGCTCTTGGTGGTCCCGCAGTGCCTGTCGCCAGTCCTCCTCCAGCACCTGGATGTAGGGACTGCTCTTGTCCGGCTTCCCCTCCTGTGGGTGGTGAAGGGGAGAGAGTGGTAGAGAAGCAGCTAGACTTGAGGGGAGGCCCCTCCAGCTCCCATGAGCACTCACCCCGCCGGCACGGTGGCCCCCGGCTCCCGCTCGCGCGCCCCACCTGCAGGGTGGCCTCCAGCTCCCGCACGCGCGCCTGCAGCAGAGTCTTCTCCTGCTGCAGTTCCCACATCAGCTCCTGGCTTGGCCGCTGCTCCATGGCGTGCCTGAGCTTCAGTGTGTGCTTGCGCTCCACCCTGCAGTCATCCTCCGCCTTCATGAGGCTGTGCTTGAGCCGCTCAATCTGCGGGAAGACCCCGTCAGCCGGCCAGCCTCGCCCCGCTCCCCCCCACCCTCCCGCCATGGTGCCAGGGCACCTCCAGCTGCAAGTCGCGGCTGCGCATGAGCGCTGCGCCCTTCTCCTCGCTCTGACGGGCCAGGCGCATGGCCAGGTCGTAGTTCTCATCCTTGCAACGCTTGAGCTCGCGGCTGCCCGCCTCGCACTCCTCCTTGAGCCGCTGCACGCGCTCCTGGTGCTTGCGGAGCAGGCTGTCCTTCACCCGCAGCTCCTTGATGAGGTCGTCCTTGGAGCTCAGCAGCTGGGTCAGGTCCTGCACTTTCCTCTGCAGCTTCAGCACCTCGCTCATCAGCAGCTGGGTCAGGCCCGACTCCCCGGATGCGTCTGCAGACAGCTGGGCTGCGTCAGAGGGCCCGCCCGGCCCACGGCTGCCCTGCTGCAGCCCCTCCCGGGCTCCAGGCTTGAGGGCCGGCCACCCCACTGCAGGAGGCTCGGGGCCCGGCCGAGGGGCCACCCAAAGGTGCTGGTGCTCCCCTTCAAGGAAGCAGGCAGAGCTCCTGACTCACCTTGCGGCCCTGTCCCCGGCCCAGCCCCAGGACGGCAGCCGTGAGGCCAGGCACCCTCCCCCTTCGGCTCATTTTGTCACGATCTTGATTGTGAGGCAAGAGGACATGCGTCCAGGCCAGGGAAGTGTGGCTTCGCCTGTTGCTGGGGCCAGCAGACGCCCGTCCTTCCAGGAGCCGAGGCTTTGGTGGCGTCAGGGGGGTTCTGACCCAGGAACCATGGGGCCCTCTGTCCCCCACCCCAGTATGGGTCCGCCTTCCTCCAGCAGAGAGACAAGGAGCAGGACGGAGCTGCTGCAATCCAGTGTGCCCCTTCCACCTCCTTTTGTCCCCAGTTTATCCATCAGGAGGCCAGCCATCAGCGGCCTGCCTGCGGGGCCCCAGGCCTCACCGATGATCATGGAGAAGACACGGGTGGGCTCCTTGCCCGTGACCTTCTTGTAGAGCTGTGGGTAGTAGAGCTCCAGGCTCTCGAGGAAGGCCACATAGCCCTTGTGGCCGGTCCGCTGCAGGATGTCCAGGAGCACGCCTGAAACCCACAGGACCTGGCTGGGGCCGTGGCCATCCTGCCCACCGCCCTGGGCTCTCCCCGGGGCCTCTGCTGCGCACAGAAGCACCACTGCTCCCAGCAGGAGGGACAAGGTATGGGGTGCTGGGGAGTGCCCATTCCCGCGCCCGAAGCTCCTGGATGAGGCGGCACTGACCCACTTTCCGCTTGCGGATGACTAGGTTGGGGTCACTGAGCACCTGCTCCTCATCGTCGGGGTTCAGCACCTTGCATTGCCTCAGGTAGGGTGTGATGCGTGAGGGGTCGATGACGGAGATGAGCTTCACGCGGAAGCTCTCCAGAGCATTCCAGCACTGGTCCTCGTTCTCGTAGTCTGACATGGCGGTGGCCACGGCTGTGGTCGGTGGGAGAACTGCTGGGAGGGGCAGCCACAGGCCGGGCCCGGCCGGGGGTGTCCAGGACAGGTGTGCGGCCTCACCTGTCCCTCCTCGGTGCTGGTGCTGTGACCTGGGGCACCAGCTCAGCCAGGGCGGCCCTCTCTGGGCCCTGCTGCCCGCCCCCCGCCCCCCCGGCGCATGGGCTTTTCCCGTCCCCGGGTCGCCCTGATGAGAGTGGAGGAAGACGTGGAGGGCTCCAGGGATGGGTGGCGTCTGAGAACACTGCACGCCCCACACCGTGGCCCTGCTCTGGACTCTGCACTCCCCATCCTGGAAGCGTGGGGCTGGTGGGCCACCGCCTCCTACCCACCGGCAGCGCCCCCCGGGCACGTGTGGGGAGACAGGCACCCAGGCTGGGGCGGCAACCCTGGGACAGTGACCCGCCCGCCCGTGCGTGCCAGGCAGGGCTGTGGGGGACTTCCTCCTTCCTGGACCTGGCGGCCGCTCAGAGCTTAGCCCCACCGCCTCCTCCTTCCGGCGGCTGGCTGGTGGTGCAACAGTGGTCCAGGCGGCTCGCTCCGGAAGGGCGACTGTGGACCGCCCACGGGGGAGCCAGGCCCGCTGCACGCATCGCCCACGGCCAGCCCCAGAGCCGCTCGGGCGCCCTCTGCAGGCTCTCAGGTCCTGGGCACCAGCCACCGCGGGGCTCCTCTCCCTTCCCAGATGAAGCCTGTTCCCAGGCGCTCGGGCTCCCCAACAAGGGGGCCATCCGTGTTGGGACCACCCACTGCTGCTCCCTTCCACCAGCGGGGGCGGGAACCACTCTCTGAGGCCTGGGCCAAACCAGAAGCCTCCTCCTGGTGGTGGGGACGGAGACACTGACCCGCCGCCGCCCCAGAGCGCTCTCAGCCAGCGTGGGAACGTGGTTTCCAGCTCAGAGGGGCTAGACCACGCTCCCAGAGGTCCAGGTGGCAGCAGGCGGCGTCTTTGCAGGAGTTTCTCCGACTTCCCGTGGCCCTCGGTCATCCCATCCAGCCAGAGACACACACCAGCACTCGGTGGGTGGCCCTTGGAACGTTCAGCCCGCTCCCCGCCTCTCCTGCCTAAAATCCACAAGTCCCATACCGGACACCCTGCTGCTAAGTCCCCTGAGACGGACCAGCAGGTACCACGTGGCTGTGAAGGCGGACAGGGCAGAAGAGTTGAGGCCACTTGCTGCCCTTCTGGGGCAGGTGCCCCAGCACCCGGCTCCCTGCCCCAGGAGCCCTGAGCAGAGAGGTGTCTTCCTGGCACCTTCAGAAGGGGCAGCAGTCCCACCTACCTCAGGGTCCTGGAGGGGCACCTGCACGGTGGGGCGCTGGCCACCCTGGGCCAGCCCGATCTGACGAACAGGAGGAGGTGTTGCAGGCCGGCCGGCAGAGCCCAGGAGGAAAGCTGTGCACTTCCTGATGGTGCTGGTTAGCTCCACGGAGCCCAGCAGGTCCTGCCCAAGGGAGCCGGTCCCTGGGCCTGCCTTCTGATTCGTCTGCCTGGCAGGGCCCGGGAGGCGGGGCGGAGGAAAGTGGAAGTCTCGCTCAGAGGCCTGGAGGCCCAGCCCTGGTGCCCACTAAGTGGAAGTGTGCGCAAAGACCCTCCCCGCAGCCGGAGGAGGCCAGTGCACCGTCCAGTCTGCTCTGGCCTGGACGCAGGCTTCCGGAGGCTTCTCCAGCAGGGGCCAGCTGGGGACCAGCAGTGCAGGCAGCCTGCAAGATGCAGGTGGGGATCCCAGGGCTTGGGGCCCAACTCTGGGCTCTCCGCCAGGGGCCCACACACACAGCCGGCCAGCAGGGGCCTTGATCACATGAGGGCTGCAGTGTAGCATCCAGAGGGCATGTGGCTGGAGAGGCCGCTGCGGCCCACAGGAGGCCAGGGGCCCGGCCACGCTTGCCCCACATGGCCACCAGCCCGCACCACAGCTAGCCCAGCACACCCCCGTCCCTTCCTGGAAGTGTCTCCCCTCAGCAAGCTCTCTCCACCCGGGACACACGGGACTGTGACAGCCGGCTCCCAGGACCCCGAGGCCACTCCCTGTGGCCCCCACAAACCAACCCCCAGGCCAATGCCTTGCCGGGGCAGCTGTGCCGGTTGGCCGGAGATGCCGGCTGCCAGGCTGAGGCCACAGCTAGGGTCCTGACCAGGGCTCCCGGCTCCACCTTCCCGAGGCAGCTGCCGCTCGCCTGACCGGCCCCCTGCCTGTGGTCTCTCCATCCTCAGTCCCTGGGCTCTGCCTCCAGCGCATCTTGAATCACAGGGCGGCGAGCAGCCTGCCCCACCCGCCCCCGCAGGTCTCTGGGAGGACAGAGGCCGACATCACGCCTCCAGAAGCAGCCAGTCCTGGGCCTGGAGCTGTGACCACCAGTGTCCCCCCGTTTTGCAAAACGAAGCTAATAAAAGGTGTCTACCTCACGGTGGGGTTTGTAAAGATTCAACGACAGAAACATCATGTTCTTCATATCAGAAACTAGAAATCAGTAACAAAAAGCTAACTGGAAAATCCTTAGACATTTGAAAATTAAACAGAAACCTCTAAATAACCACAGGTCCAAAGAAGCCCCCAGGAAAAGTAGAAACGAGCCAAGAAAGCACTGGGCACAAACTGAAAACTGAAAGCACTTTCACGGGGCTGTGTGGTGGTGGGTCAGTCCCAGCGGGTGTGGCACCCGGGGGAGGGTCACACGTGGAGAACACAGAACAAAGCCTCTAGAACCAAGTGCCTCAAAAGGCTGCCCACCAAAGCCAAGGCTGAGCGCCCCTCAGGCAGGGCTGTGGAGGGTGCTGGGACCTGGCCCCCTGCCAAGCAGCAGCCGCTCGGGAGGAAGGCGGCCTGGCCTGGGGCCACTGCACCACTTATCAGTAGCTTGACTGCCGCTGGTTCCAGGCGCCCACCTGGGTCGGCCGTGTGGGCAGAAGGCAGCGAGGCGGGTCCGCCCCAGTCCCCGTGGCTGCACCAAGACCAGCGGCCACCTGGGAGCTCGTGGCAGGCCCCTCGGTCTGAGCCACAAGCACGTCTCGTGGAAAGGGCACCCCACATCCAACACTGAGGCCTGGGGTTCAGGGGGCTCCTCAGACCTCAGGGCCCAGCCCACCGGCTCCCGACGCGGCCAGAGGAGGCCCCAACCCTCTGCACACTGCCCGGTCTTTCGGGGCAACATCACAAGAGCCTGGCGGCTTGCTTTTTAATAAAAAAAATAAACCATTCCTTTATTCCTTCAAACATCCCAATTTGTGCCTGAGGACCAGCCAAGCCCCTCTGGCCTCACGGTCCCTGCTAGCGGAGCCTCCCCAATCTCCAGCTGCTTTGGCTTTCTCCGGAAGGGTCGGTGAGGGGCTCTCCGGGCAGGTGGGCTCACCAGGGTCCAGCACGGCTCCTGCCTCCTGGAATGCAAAGATGCTCTGATGATGGGGACACCCAGACTCCCAGCCACACCCCATGGACGGTGCTGCAGGGCAGGAACCAAAGCTGGCACCATGCCCCCTTTGAGGGCACAGCAGAAGCAGGTTGGCTGCCCACCTGCAGTCCACACAGGGGCCATGCTGAGGGCAGACCCTGGGGCCTGGGTGGGCTTCCAAGGGACCCCCCCGCCGTTGGCATCCCCTCTGTGGACCCATCTGCCCTATTCCAGGAGCCAGGACCTCTCAGGGCACGGCCCCCACCGTGCTCAGGGGAACTGGCTCCTGTCTCTGGGGACCTGTGGACCTGGACAGAGTCCTTCCCCCCCATGGGTTCTCCACCCCATGAACTCAACTAATCCGTGCCGAGGGCCTACTTGGTGCCTGTTGTCCGCACACTGGGGCCCCAGCAGCAAAAACTACGTTACTGACCGTAAGGGCACACGTTCATAGCAGAAATGACAAATATACATATAGACCGTGTCAGGTGTAGAGAGCAGAGTGCCATCAAGAAAAATGGATGCTGGGACAATGGCACTGCCTCAGGAGAACAGTCATAGACTGCATCTCTGAGGAGGTGCTCACAGAGCAGAGATGTGATCGGACAAAGGGAATGAGCTTTACAGACAGAGGAGGAGGAAGCTAGGCAGAGGGCCCAGCAGTGCAAAGGCCCTGAGGCACATGTGTGCTAGCAAGAAGGAAGCACCAGAGCCTGGGGTGTGGAACCCAGCGGGTGAGGGGGATTAGATGGCCCTTCCCCCGGGGGCCTCCACAACCCCGGGCCTGCCCCCAGAGGCCTGTACATACCCACACCCCACCTAACACCATCACACTTGATGCGAGCTGCTAAGGGCCAGCCTGCCCTGCATCTGGACAGCTGTGGCTCCCACGTGCCCAGAGCGGAGCCACGGGGAAGGCCCACGCTTACCCTGCGCTCACACCAGCCGCCTCCTCTTCCGGGCGTGCCAGGCGTGCCTGGTTTTCAGCACATCAAGGTTGTCAGGACCATCCAGGCAGGAAAAGTCAGAACCCTGCTCAGGGTCTGGGGCTCCCTGGAAAAAAAAAAACCCAGGCAGAGGACAAGAGTGACTCCCTAGCAGAACAGGCAGGGAAAGTGGGGGCCGTGAGGAGTCACACCAGGGAGGAAGCTGCAGTGCCAGGGACGTGCAGCTCCCCAGACCTGTCCCCGCAGAGACACCGTGGCTTGCAAACGAACTGAGGCTCCCGCAAGAGAGACACGGCCACATGCGGGCTCTGGCTTCCCACCAGCCCCCCAATCCCCTTGGTGACGCCAGAGAGCCAGCCTCCTGTGTCCCGGTTCTCCCAGCCAGGCTGGCAGGGCGGTGCCAAGGAACGCAGGTGGATGACAGTGGAGAGCCTGCACGCAGGCCAGGGGACAGGAGGCCCTCCCCCCTCACCAGCCACAGATGCTGCCTCCGCAAAGCCCCAGCTGGGGAAGGGCCACCCCCTGCAGGAGACCCCACAACCTCCCTGACGTGACACACAATGAGGTGGCCCGGCTCTCCTGCTGGCCCCAGGAACAGGGTCAGAGGACACGTGCTGGGAGCCCCGTGGGCACACGCAGCCACAGAGGACATAGGGACACCTTCCTACATGTTTATATCAGGCTTCTGGCTAGGGAATAAGGAAAGAGATTTGCCTCCATGGCTCAGAAAGCTCTTTTGGGGTACATGGTGCCAGAGATGACAGCTAGAAGGACACCTTGGTGTCCCCAGATGCGCAAGAACAAGCGCAGGCCCACCTCTGTGGAGTTAGCACCCCAATGCAGAAGCCCGTATGTGCGCGGGGAGCACAGGGCCTGAGGTCACCCGCTCCCTCAGGCAAGGCTTTGTAGTGGGGGCGGCAGCCCCAAGAGGGACCAAGAGGCTTCGTGTGTAGAGATTCCTTCCTGTTTTCCACACCGGCCTCAAGGGAGGGGCCACATCCACACAGACTGAACAGGCCTGGAGCCAGCTTTCTCCTCCCCAGCAACCAGTGGGCCAGCCCTACTGGCCAAACTCCCACCCACAACCGGGTGGGGGCGCTGCAGACGGCCACGGGGGAGCGGGGGGGGGGGGGGGCTCTGTGCCCACGGCCGCCTACCTGAATGGGGATGGTGGCTACCGGCCCCGCCCGAGGACCACTTGGGGAGCAGCCATCAGTGAGCTCCAACTCCCCCAGGTCATCCTCGCTCTCCGGCTCGGCCCTTGTGGCCACCGACAGGGTGGTGGGGACGCCGTGGGGAGACAGGGTGGCCAGGAGTGCGGGGAGGGTGAAGGCTGCCAGGAACCGCGCCTTCAGCAGCAGGTAGGCCGGGCTGTCCTGGAGCTGCCTCTGCACCTGTCCCAGCGAGGCCTGCAGGCCTCCGGCTGCCCCACTGGGCACGAGGGAGGTGGCTCTCCGCTCCAAGGCCTTCTTGTGTAGCAGGAGTCCAGACAGGGCCCGCAGGCTGCACAAGGCTGGGGGCTGGTAGGGCAGCCTGCTCCCTAGCGGGGGCACGCACACCCCCTGTTGTCCCCTCAGCCAATCCCACACGGCTGCCTCACTCTCCTGGGACAGGAGGTCCAGGTCCAGGGCACCCCTCTCAGGCCCAGGCCGGGGTGGCCTCTCTAGGCCCAGAGGTCCCGTGAGTCCCTCTGGCCCCGGGTACCCCAGTGTCCCTCCTGGGCCACTCCCAGGGCTAGTGCCAGCTTGCAGAGGGGGCTGGCTGGACCACGGGGGTTTTGCCTCAGGATGGTCAGCCAGAAGTGTGGCCTGGGAGGGTATCCTGGGCACAGCTATTTCCCTGGCCACTTGGGCCTCTCCGGGGAAAGGTCCCCCAGGGGCACAGGCCACGTCACTGCCCACTTCCACAGAACTTTGGGATTGGCAAAGCATCGGAAGGGTCGAGAGGTCTGTCCTGGAGAGAGAATCTGAGTCTGTGTCCACGTTGGCCGGGGGCTGCCAGGGGTGGCTCAGCCCAGGGGGCCTGGGGCCCTGGCCTACCTGCATCCCAGGCAGGGAGGACGGCAGAGTCACAGACAGTCCCTTGGGACCAGAGGTCCCTGCCGCTCCAGGAAGGCCCACCACGGCTGGCACAGGGAGCAGCCCCTGGGCTGTGAGCACCCAGGTGACAGGCAGAGGTGTGCTGGCCGCCACGTGAGGCCCACCCTTGAGGGTGCCCAGAGCTGGTGGCAGGCTGAGGGGCTGGAGAGGCAGCTGAATGGGGCTGGGGGCTGCCGGGAGAAAGAGTGGTGCCTCAGGCAGGCCCTGCTTCCGGGACGCGGCTGGGGCCTGAGACTGTCCCAGGCCACCCTGATGGCCACTCACAAGGACCCGGCTGGGAACTGGAGCTCTGGAGGCAGCAGGGGCAGCCTCTGTGGAGGCCAGGGTGCGGTCCAAGACTGGCAGGGTGGAGGGTCTCTCGTTCTCGCCTGAAGTACTCAGCCCCACTGCTGCAGGGATCCCAGGCCCAGAGAGCGCCGTGTCTGTGGCAGCCAGGCCCGGGGCCTCGGAGGTGGGCGGGGCCTGCGGTAGACGGGGCTGGAGGATCAGTGGCGAGGACAGCAGCAGCTGTGGTGGGAGAGTCACGGTGCCTGGGGCGGTGGCCTTCCTGGCCCGGGCCTCCCGAAGCCGCTTCTCCCGGAGCAGCTCGGAGACGGTCTTGGGCTTGGGCCGGGGGCCACACGGAGCTGGCGGGGGCGCTGGTGGACTGGACTCGGCTTGGCAGGGCTGTAAACCCCTGCTCCCTTTGTGGCCGGTGCTCTGCTTTGCAGCTTCTCGCGCTGGCGGATTCCTGGAGCTGCGGCCTGCAGAGAAGACACAACACAGATGCGGATGAACTCCATGCGTGCGGACTGCAGACGTGCCTCCCCCATGTCCCATCGGAGGGCCGTCCTGGAGGGTGGGCGGCTGCTGGGAGTACAGAGCAGGAGCTTTGGCATCTGATCTGCACGTTCCCAGACCTCCTCGAGCTCCTGCTGCAGCCAGGGCAGCAGGGCCCGCCGGGTACCGGCCACCAGCCCCGCGCCTTCGGTATCTTCAAAACAACGACCACTGGGCACCACCGCCCTCCTCGCGTGGTCTCCCAGCCCCCAGAGCCTCACACGATGCTGCTGGTGTGGGGAGGCTGGTGGCAGCCAGCAGCAGAGGCCCCTCCTGGATGCCCCGGGCTGGCTTATGTGCGGAGCAGGTAGGAGCTCGAGGAGCTGCCTCTGCCCACTCCCGCCTGCCACGCTTCTGCCACTGCCGTGGGATTCGGACAAGACCTATCACCAGGGCCACAGCTGTGCCGGTCAAAACCCGAGATCCAATACCCCTTTCCCATTAGGTTAGATGGTCAAGGTAAGAGGACAGACAATACCTGTAGGGTTCTGCGACGAAGACATCTGAAAAACAAGAGTGTGCATCTCAGGGAAGTCCCAGGGCCCAGACCCGCTCTTCTCCACCTGCAGCAAAGCCTTCCTTCTGCTCTCACCTGCAGTGGGAGCAAGGCCCAAGCACCAGGGCCGGCCTCCCTCCCTCCCCACATCCTCCTACAGGCACCACCGGGTGAGCTCATCACAGTGAAGTCAGGCCTGTGTGGGGTTTGAGAGAGAGGCAGGGGCTTGGCTCCCCAGGCAGAAAGACTCATTCCCTTCAGTTGTAACTTGACCCAGGAACGTCACCTCTCGCTGACGGACCCCACACCTGGCATCCCACCCCAGCAGGGCCAATGCCCAGAGCAGGAGATGCCCAAGAGCTTGGAGACCTCCACGCAGGGGCGGCACGGTACCAGCTCTGCCCCCTCCCACCCCGACATGTCGTGAAGCCCTCAGGGCTCCACGCAGATGGGCAAACACCTCCTAGAAGGGTTGCCGTGAGAGGCCCAAGAGCCAGGAGGGCTGCTCTCAGGGGCTGGACCAGCCTCCCCTCCGGGGGACCCGGGAATGCCTCCTGTCTCTTACTCTCTGGCTGGACAGCTGCTACCCACCCCAGCACTGGCCCTGTCGCGTCGGGAAGAGGAGGGAGGGTGGCAGAAACCAGGTGTTCACCCCCTACTTCTCACCTGTAGGAGCCCAGGCACTGGGTCCCGAGTGCCAGCCTGGAGCAGGGCAGGGGTCTGGGCCTTCCTCTCTCGAACGACCTCCATGCACCCAGCAGTGTCAATCTGGAACAGCTGAGGGACGCGTGTGACACGTGCACGGCACACACGTGACCAGAGCCTGTCCCCCTTCCCCGCCCAGGGCCAAGATGACAAGGGCGTCTGCGATGAACTTGAGCCAGCTCTGACCACTGCTCGGGGTAGGTCCGGAGTCCGGCACAGCCCCTCAAGGCCATGACCCCTTTGCTCAGCCCCCGCCTGGCCTCAGGGCCCAGGGGCATCGGAGTAGAGCTCCCTCCGGGCCGGGGTCTCCTTTCTCTGGGCTCCCAGCACCCCCATCCCTTCTCAGGATGGGGTTTAACTGATGGTGGCAGGGACGGGGCTGTCCCTTCCACAGCGACTGGCCTGCTAAGTGTCGCAAGCCACTGAAAGACCCTTTCCAAGGATCTAAAACTTCAAAAAGTTAGACTTTAAGAAGTGAATCCACCTTCACCCAAAGAAAACCAAGCATAAAACAGGAAAGCTCTGCCTACGGGGCTTCTCACCTGGATAAAGATGGTGAACACGGGAGTGCTGGCCAGCTGGGCGTCTCGCAGCTGCTTCCCGATGCCATCGGCTGAGGGGACAAGCGCACACATGTGCGGTTACCAAGGCCCCTCTCCCTGAGGCCCCAAAGAACCCCACATCCATCTCCCACCATGCTCAGCCAGAAGGAAGGGCAGGAGCCCAGAGGGCAGGCCGGCCCTGACTGGCCTTTGGAGCTCCCCCCCCCGGCCCGAGAACACAACCAGCTCTCCAGAAACCTGCACGCAGGCACCGCCCACCTGAGCCCCGAGAAGACCCTTGCTAAGGCCCAAGTGGCTGGTCATTCCCACACTGTCCCTCGTGTGCTAAGCAAGAAAGAGACAAAACCCAAACAGCCCTCCAAAGGCATGCTTTCTAGAAAGACGAGATCGGCACACGGGTCCCTCCCCGTGCACCCTCTCCCCAGCAGGATCACCCCGCATCTGCCCTGCGTCTCCCCCCCCGGGCCCCACAGGAGGCTCTCAAAGGAGCCCTCCCTGGGGCAGTACCTCGGGTGTGCACGGCGGCAGGCCTCCGGCGGGTGCAGGGCAGGACAACATCGCCCACCCACGGGCTCATGGCCACCAGAAGCTGGCGCTCAACGAGCCTCCTCTGCAGGGCGTGTCCCCGCCACCGCTGCCTGTTCCCGACCGTCCTGTGCCACAGCCGCCGTACACGGGGCCCAGCCACACCGCTGTCACTGGGGCTGGCCCCCAGGGACGGGCTGAGCGGGCACGGCTGCCTCAGTTTCTCCTTCTGTGTAAGGAAGAAAGACACCTGGGCTTCCCAGCCAGGCTGGGCTCCAGGGCTGCGCATGGCCCCCCCCATCCTCCACCCCTTCCCTGGACTGGGGAGGGGCCCCGGGCCGACAGGGCAGTGGCGGCGGGGGGCTGCGGGGGGCTCCTACCAGAGCCTGGCGCCGGCGGGCTGTGTTGGTCCTGAGCACCTGCAGCACGCTCTCCAGTGGCACCTTCAGCAGATGACTCCCACTCTAACGAAAAGACAGCGTGAGGCTGGGCGCGTGGGGGGCCCTGGCGCAGGGCCTTCAGAGATAGCACGCACGCCCCTGCGCCCCGATCCCAACGCGGGGGGGTGGAAGCTCTCTGAAGTATGGCGGCCTCAGGCGGGTCCCTGAGGCCTGGCCACCCACGCGCCTGCCCGGCTTGGCTGCAGCCTGCACCAGCAGAGGGCCCCTGCTCCCCCGGCCAGCCCCCAAGCCGATGGCACCGCGTGCAGTCTGCCCGGCTGCCTGGACAGCCCGCTGTCCCCTCAGGTGCCCCAGAATCTCCAACCTCTCCCAGGACAGGCCAGCCTGCTCACCGCAACTCGGCACATGGCCAGAGCCAGGGAGGCGGCCAGGGCCCGGACACCTTGGACACTGACTCAGACAGGCATACACAGGGCCAGGGGACATGGGACCCTGCACGGGAGAGGTGTCTGGACTTCCGCAAGCCAAGGGGACACCCTCCTGCTTGCTGCCCCCGCCCCACCCCTGCTCGGGGACAAACAGATCAGAAATGACTCCAAGTCTGCGGGCCCACCCGGCAGAGCCCCGGCAGCTCTCCTGCACAGCCCGCAAAGCAAACCTGGGGAAGCAGAGGCTGCTGCTCTGGACACGAGTCTGCTGAGGACCAGAAGCCAATGTTCTCTGGAGCCAGGACGGGTGTCTGCCCCGCCGCAGCCAGGAACGCAGCTGACGCGAGCGCAGGCCGGCCCGCTGTGCCTCAGCACCAGCTGGGTGACCCCCGAGCAGCCACGTGGGGTGCACTGGGGTCTGGGGCCTACCTCGTCTGCCGGCTCCTCTGAGCTCGAGAGGTGCGTGTCCGCCGAGCCTGGGTGCCCGATGCCTCTCACGCTGGTGCCGTGGGTCCCGGAGGGAGTGTGTGCCTGGCCCGCCTCCTCTGCGGGACCCGAGGCTGTGGGGCGAGCAGCTCTGCTGGCCTGAGGCTCGCTGGAGGCCCTGGGAGGGCAGGCACGGCGTCCTGGCCAGCCCCGGGCTCCCCCTCCGCACAGCTCACTGGCGCTCTGCCTGGCAGGCACCCACAGGTCCATGTCCGGCACGGTGTGCTGTGCTGACGGCAGCGCCTGGCCCCCTGCCCCGGCCTCTGGGGCTTCCTCTGGCTCCGAGTCCTCGCTGTCCCCGCTGCTGCCGTCCCCGCTGCTGCCGTCCGCGCTGCTGTCGTCCCCACTGCTGGAGCTCCACCGCACGCTGCCAAGGGGCCGCCGCCGCCTCCTCCCCCGACTCTGCTTCTTCTGTGGGGAAGGGCTACTTGGAGGCCTCGGCCGCCCAGGGCTCATGGACCAGGGACAACAGGCAGGCAGGCCAGCCCTTTGGGGAGAGACCCCAAGCAGGTTTGGACACGGCGCGCGGGGAGCACGGCACCCCGCTCCCCCGAATGCTCTGAGGTGACAGCAGCTGTCGGAGAGGCCGGGGCTCTCTGCCCTTGGCTTCCGGGAAGAAGAGATGCCAGGGCCAGAAGCCAGACGTCCCTCCTCCCCTCCCCGCCCGGCGGTGATGCTGGTCCCACGGGTACAGGGCCTTCGACTGACTTTTGGTAAAGCCTCACCCTGACCATGATCTTCCACTTGCTCAGACACTGGGAGCCCGTCCGATGGGGTAGTTCAGAAGCTATTTTTGCCCAGTGACCTACAAAAGCAAGACAACGCAGAAGTTGCTTCCCACGGTCTTTGATGACACGTTTATAACCTGAACGAGAGGCTCTTCTCGCAGACGCGCGGTCTCCCGCAGAAGACCTGCACCGTGTTCCGTGAGAACACGCGCTCCGCTGCACGCTGCTCCCCACATCGGAGAAGTTCTGTGACAAGCGGGCCTTCAGATTCTCAACGGATAATCAACCCTTTAACAAGACTCTAGAGAACACACAGACAAGAGGAAAAAACCCATCTGCGTTTATGTAAACACGGACCCTGCGATTCTGCCACACCCCGGCTTCTACACCAAACACGGCAAACTATTCTCTGTCCCGACCCCATGGGGGGAGGACGCTGGGGCCTTGTTTTCAGGGCAGTGTGACTCCGTGCCACACTCAGGATTCTGCATACACCTGAACTTGGCAACGCCACGTCTAGGGTCTGTTCCTAGGGAGATGCCGCAGATAATAAGCAGATGCAGCGACCGAGCCCTTGGCTCCTTCCAGCTCGGGGGCAGAAATGAGAAACAACGGAAACGTCCGTCAAGAGACAGGCGGCTGAGGAAGTTCTGTGCTCTTCCTCAATGAGACAGGATGTGGGTATCGACAACAACGGGAGAACACAGGACACGTGAAGACAGAAGAACATTCACAACGGACAACAGAACGCTAAGTGAGAAGTGGTGGACTCCGTGAACTCACACCGAGTGACTCAACTTTAAAAAAACCTGCCCTAGAAAAGGGCCCCAAGAGTGGGCTGGGCAGGTGCATGTGGCCGGCAGCAGCCACCTCCAAGACAGGAGTGGAGTGACGGCGCTCCTGAACTTTCCATCCCGACCGTTCTGCAGTGCGCAAGGGGGAAAAGCTGCTGCCCACTGAGCTGGGGAGAAGCTGGGGACAGGGAGGCAGCTGGGGTCTCCGCGAGCCGCGCCTCCTGGGGGCTCAGGGCCTGCAGAGGCCCAGGACTCACCAACACCGTACTTCTCGATCAGCTCAAGCAGCTTCCCCTCTTCACTTGCGTTCCATCGTCCCTTTTTCAAGCTGAAGTGCAGTCGTCTGAGGTACCTGAAAGCGGGAAGGACACGGGGGTGTTTCGGGCACCAGAACGCCCTCCTGAGGATGTCCCCGTTCCCGCGGCTGTCCCCACGCCGGCAAGGGCTCCTGAGACCTGGCACCAAAAGCTCAGGGGACGAACAGAAAACACAGAATAACTGAACTTCGTGAAAATTAAAACCTTGATGTGTCTCACAGGATGCCATCGAGAAAGACGGGCAGATGAGGCCTCGGATAAGGGACTTGTAGCCGAACACGTATCAACTCACACAAGCCCGTGACACAAAGACAACTTGCTTTTTTAACTGGGCGAACGACAAAAATAGATGTTTCTCCAGAAAAGACACGCAAAGGGCTGGTCAACACACACAGACGCTCAATGCCAGGAGCCGTCAGGGAGCCGCGAACGGAAGCCACTGAGACGCCACCTGACACCCCACGCCTGCCGGAGCCGGGGCTCCCGGGGGCTGGTGAGGGTGTCTCCCACGGGGGCACAGGGTGGAAACCACGGCATCACATGCCCTGAAAACCCCACTCGCAGGCACACGTCCAAGAGCAATGAGCGTGCCCGTCCACAGACGCTCCCGTTGCCAAGGCGAACCCACGGGGGGTGTGTCAGGACTTGGTCTGCTTATCTGTTCAGTCCTCTCTACACCCAACGCGGGGCTCGAACCCATGGCCCCAAGATCAGGAGTTGGGTGCTCACTGACCACGCCAACCAGGCGCCCCGGGGTCTCGTCGTCAAGGCCCAGCGGTACCCTAGTGTCCACCCAGCTGGAGAACGGCTTCTGTCGCTAACCTCTTCCTCCACTGACATGGTCGGCTCCTGCCGCGCGGCCACCGTGACCCCTGTGGCTGTGACCACGCGTGCGTAGGTGCCCGTGTGAGGCCCGGCTCCCGGTTCCCGCGGGCGGGCGGGCAGCAGTTCGCCGGCAACACTGCGGTTCCACAGCTAACTGCCCAAGGAAGCGCCGCAGCTCGTCCGTGGCACCCACACCACGCACGCTCCGCACCCTCGGCTGCACCTGCCCTTTCGTGCGGCCTTAAAACCACCATCCCGATGCGCGAGGTGGCGTCCCGCGGCCGCTCTCCCCGTGTTTCTGCAACGACTGACGACACCAGGCCGAGTCTCGTGCGCTCTCTGGAGAAGGGTCTATTCGAGCCCTCGTCCCTTCCCTCAGTTGTTTGTTGTTGTTGGGAAACGGCGTTTCTCTGGGGGGTGGTCACAGCATTCTGAAGTTGCCTGGGGGTGCGGATGCACAGCTCACGACGACAGTAACCCCCCAAAACCGCAACCCTCACGGGAGTAAGTTACACAACATACAAGTTATGTTGTTATGAGCCGTTAAAAAAAAACCAGGCTGAGAAAAGAACGTCGCCAAAGCGGCCTTCCAGAGACCTTGCCGTCGGGGGTCTGGAACAGGAGCTCCAGCAACAGGGTCAGGGAAACGCCCCCTGGGCCCCCTCAGGTTGAGCCCTACAAAAGTCTGGTTCATAAAAACCAACAGGCATCCTGCTTCCTGACCAGACACCCCAGCTACGCAGGGCTCCCAGGCCACCCCAGCCTCCGCCAGCAGAAACCCTGGGGCCACAGGCTGCTCGCCCACCCTCCGGCCTATCCGGAAGCAACCCCAGCAAGGCCTCCCTCACCCAGTGGGGTCCAACTCACCGATCTCGGCACTGGGCATCGCTCCTACCTGGCACCTCTTCCCGGATTTTAAACCAATCCTGCTCCCCGTATTTGGCAACTGCTCGAAGCAACTTCTGCAGGAAAGGACAGCGAACGAGTAAGGCCTCTGCAGGCAGCCATAAGCTCCCCAGCCCGCATCAGTCCATTTCGGAAGGGACAGTGGGCGCCGAGGCTCACATCCCAGAGGACGGCTCTCCTTGGCTTCTACGACCGTATACTCACCGCGTCTTCCTCTGGGGCCCAGAACCCCTTCTTCAGGCTGGGGTCCAAGCTCTTGGTCCACCGATAGATGAGCTGCATGGAGTCTCTCCCTTCCATGTAATAGACAACTGGGGACAAAGGGGCCTGATGGGCACCGCGCTTCCTGGGTCACTCAGCAAGGAGCTGCTCTGGTCACTAGGTCACTGGGCCATGGGGTGCGGGGGCTGGGTGACCCCAGATGTCCCCCTCCAGCCCCTCATGCCTGTCATGACTGAGCTGCCTCCACCCGTGAGGGGCCTTGGGTCTGGAGGCTCGCGAGCCTCAGCGGGGAGCACAGGGAGCAGGGCCCACGCGGACACTCACTTCTCCGGTAAGGGATGTGGCTGCCGACGCGCATCTCCTGGACGAGCTGGGTGAGCAGGCGGTCCTCCTCCCGCGTCCACTCCTTGCGCTTCAGAGCCTTGTTGTGCTGCTGGTACTTCTGCAGGCACTGGAAGGCGCTGCGGTTGGTCTTCCAAGGCCCCAAACCAAAGCAAAGTGGGTGTTACTGGGTATGCACCCCCCGCAGAGGGACAGCCAGGGTGCTGTGAACCAACAGCCTTATCGCCCCTAGCAGACCCTGAAGGGACAGTGGAGAGCCTGACAGAAGAAGGCCGTGGAGCACCAGTCTGCACATTCACAGACACACAGCGTGTCCAGAGAAGTCCGTAACGCTGCATTCACAAGACCCCAGAGCGACACTGGACTCCTCAACGGGCACCGCCAGCTCAGCGGCCTGGAGGAGGAGCCTCCCTGCAGAGCTCGCGCCTCTGACGACCTAAGGGCTGCTCTGTGGCCCTAACCCTGGGGCCCCGACGGGCCTCTTTGGGGTCGCCACCCCAGGGAGAGCTCTGCAGTGACTGACTGTATCTCGGCTTCCATGTGGGCTCCAGCTCAGCACATAAACCACCAGTCTCCACGGCAGACGCGGTCGCCCAAGCCTGTCCCCTCACTTACCCCCTTATGGGGAAACTATTCCCCAAAAGCTAACGAATGTGATTTGAACTCTCTTTTTTCCTGAAGAAAATCCTGGAGTTACAGAGAACACGTACAGTTGGACGCATGCAGTCCACATGCCCATGAGGTTTGGGTTTGGTGATGCCTTTTAAGACACAACACCAAAAGGCTGGTCCTTGAAAGAACGGATCAGCTGGACTCGGCTAAGACTGAGACCTTTCGCTCAGTGGAAGACGTCAGAAAAATGAGAAGACAGACCGCAGACAGGAGAAAACGCTCGTAAGACGTGTCTGGTAAAAACTGTTATTCCAAATACACAAGACTTTAAAACTCAGCAAGGGGCGCCTGGGGGGCTCAGTCGGTTAAGCGTCTGCCTTCGGCTCAGGTCCTGATCCCAGGGTCCTGGGATCGAGCCCTCCATCGGGCTCCCTGCTCCGCGGGAAGCCTGCTTCTCCCTCTCCCACTCTCCCTGCTTGTGTTCACTCTCTCTGACAAATAAACATTTAAAACAAATAAATAAATAAATAAAACTCAGCAAAAAAACAATGATTAAAAATAAACCAAAAACCTACCAGACGCTTGGCCAAAAAAGACACGCAGATGAGAGCTAAACCAGCACGTGCTGGTCATCACGGAGATGCAGAAGCAAACGCGACACGAACACACGCCTGTGAGAGCTGCCCAAGTCTGGAGCCCGGACACCACCACAGGCTGGTGAGGATGCGGGGCAGCAGGACCCCTGCTTGTGGCTGGGGGTGCACAGCACGGGGTGGCCACTCTGCAGGACAGACCCAAACATCCTCTCAGCATACAACCGCTCCCTGGTGTTTAGCCAAAGGACCTGAAAACTCACATCCACACGAACGCCTCGGCACAGATGTTAACACTTTCACAACTGCCAAATCCTGGAAACGACCAAGATGCCCTCAGCAGGTGGAGGGACAAAGCGAGGTCCATCCAGACAACGGGGTGTTTTTAGTGCTAAAAAGGAATGTGTGGGCAGGCCGGGAAAAGGCCCGGAAGCACCTCAGCTCCTGAGAGGGGGAAGCCGTGGGGACAGGCCCCCAGCTCCAGGCGGCCCTGGAAGAGGCACAGCGGGGGCAGCCGAGCACTAGTCTGCAGGAGGCCGCCCCGTGGACACGTGTCCCCGTGCGCTGTCCAAGCGCACACAGGGCAGCCCCCAGCAGCACAGCCCTGACGTGCACATGGCTCTGGGTGCGGCGGGGGGTCAGCACAGACCTGTCCTTGGTTGAACAGAAGCACCGTTCTGGGAAGGGATGATGCTGGTGGGGGGCGAAGGACACAGGGGAGTCTCCGCACCTTCCTCTTGGTTTTACTGAGAACCAACGCTGCTCTAAACCAAAACTCTAAATAAAGCCAAAAAATGAAAAAAACAGAGACTAAAAATGACTTTAAAAGCCCGACTTACCAAGCGTATAAAGCTAAGTGTACGTGCACCAGGTTACTCAGCAGCCCGGTACGTGAAACACAACCAGCAGAAACACAAGGGGGGAGCGTGCCTGAGGCCGGCCCAGCGCTCCGGCCAAGCGACTCCACAGACTAAGCTTGGCAGGACAGACAGATCATGTGCTACCCCAGGATCCATGCCGATCTCTGCGCAGCTTCGGTTTCGTCAGTTCGCTGCAATTGTGTGCCTGTCTGTGGAGTGATCCATTCAAACACGCGGACTTTACTCCTCACCCTCTCAGGCCGTGGGCCAGTGAAATTCAAACCAGAGCACAACACAAGGATTCCTGAGACACTTAACCAGGTACAGACGAGAAGGACCTCCCTACACAAACTACGGTCTGAAGAGGCAGCAAAGAGTCCTACTTCACAGTGAGCTGTTCTCAGAGAGGCGAGCTTCCAACACCTTCACAGTGCAGACAGGCTGAGTGAAACTCTTGGTCCTCACCTTAGAAACGAGGAAAACACCACAAGGGCCCAGAGGAAACCGGGAAGAGTATTCCCCTCAAAACCCACCAGGACCAACTCCTGAGCCTGATGGAAATAAGGAACGATCCAGATAAGCCAGGCCCTGGGAGGGAGGCGGAAGATGGGTGAGCACTCAGAGACAGATGGAGGCTGAGGAGCCAGAAGCCTCCAGAGACCTGGCCCAGAGAGGGGCGGAGAGGCTGTTCTCCCTGCAGGGCACACCCTCAAGAGTCGCATGATGAAGCAATCTGCTAGCTCCCAGTGCTGGGCTGTGACACCCAGCCCGTGGCGACCCCAAGCCCCCCAGCCTCCCAGCCGTGCACCCGAGGCCCCTCCGGTCCTCACCCCCAGCTCCTTGGCAATCTTCTGCCACTGCAGATGGCCATGCTTGGCTGCAAGGGCCTTCAGCTGGTCTACCTCCTGCCCGCTCCACTCCTGCTTGTTGATGCTCGGGTGCTCGCAGTTCTGCCAGAACTTCCGGATCTCCTCCGCACTACGGCCACCCTCAAACTGCACCAACAGAGAAACCCAAGCTGCAGGGACTATTGCTCGCGGACGGCTGGCGGCTTGGCACCCGAGGAGAAGTGGGGTCCCAGTCCAGGTTGCCAGGACTCACACACCCAGAAGTGGGGGTTCGGCTCCAAGCACGAAGCCTGAACCTTCACACTCATCTGTCTCTGAAAAGGCAGCTCACCCCAGCGGGGTGGGCCTGACACTTGCCTGACCAGAGGCTTCGCGGCAGGTCTGGCGGCCACCAGGGACTCAGCCTGACTGCCTGAATCTGACCTTGCCGATTCTAGCCCACGCCCTCGGCTGCCAGGACGGTCATGAGCCGCCATCAGCCCAGTGTTGCCCAACTTACGTTAACGTTAGAAATCTTCTCCCAGTCGTGGCTGTCCAGCCTGTTCCCCAGCAAGGCCTCCTCTGGGAGTTGCCTGGAGACAGGGACAGGCTGCCAGGGTCACGCCGGGCCTTCCATGCCTCTCCCCAGACCACAGCCTCCCTGTAACACCCAGCTCACCGAATGTCCTGGACTTCCCTCTCTGCCTCCCTGCTCTGCTTCTCCAGGACCTGCCTCTCTGCCTCGCTCGTCACCCTACTCCGTTTCTGGTGCAAGTACTCAAGCCTACGGGGCAAGCAGAGACACCAGGGTTACCCACGTCACGGCTGTGCTCCGGGTGGGGGCGGGGGGGAGTAGGAGTGGGCGTCTTGGGGCCAGCGCAGTTTCCCTGAGTACCCAGGCATGCACATCACTCCACAGGATGAAGCCGCGCGTCAGGGAGCACACACCGGAGCCTGGCTCCGACTCCAAGCCTGCCTTGTGCAGGCAGGAGGCTGCCCGGCTTCCCGCCCATAGGAAGCAGCGACACTCTCTCTCTTGCTGTCACTGCAGTTGCCTAAGACACAGACGGTAACTTAGACCGCGAGTTCGACGTCCCAGCTGCCTGCCTTGGACCCGGCACGCAGGGAGGTATTCTGCGGGCAGCCTGGCGACAAAGCCAGGGCCTACTTAAGTCTGCAGTTGCCCCTTCCGGAGTCCAGGGAGGAGGAAGCCATCCCTGAAAAATCCTGACCCACACATCAAGCCGTGAGACTAGGGGCAGCCCCTGGGACCCCTGGCCCAACCCCAGGTGCTGTGATTTGGTCACATGGTGTCACCCCAGCACAACATAAAAAGTCTCACAAACGGTCCGCATTCAGAACAGAGAAAGTGCCCGAGCTGCGTGACTGAATGCGGCCACTCGGCCTGCCCAGTTCTCGCATGTCCGACCTTGAGCCCAGCTGCGTCTTTGGGGAAAAGTTCCAGGGATCAGCATCTCTTCTGCTGGGAGCAGGGGGACGCGGCCGCACTGAGTGCCTGTGACAAAGCATCCAGCCCAGGGAGGCTGACGTCCGTGGCTGTGCTCAGACTTACTTCAGTAACTTGGGCTGAAGCAGGCGCTGCAAGCGGTCGCTCACCACTGATCTTCGGAGCAAGGCCTTTTCCCAGTTTTTCCCTGACAAGAAACAATGACATCAGCAGCGCCTTCCCCTACTTTCATGTGAGGAAGCTGTGGGCACAGGACCAGGCCAGGACCACAGAGCTGGCAGGGGGGGCGGGCTGTGGGCCCAGGGCCCTCTGTCCAGCGAGCAGGATGCCCTGGCCCAAGCTCACAGCTGGGCCCCTGGGGCTGGGTGTTCAGGGATGAAAAGGGAGACCAGCGAGCTGTGGGGATGGTGGCACCACATGGCCTGGGACAGGCAAGGGCTTTGAGGGGCCAGTCCCAATAGTTAGGGCCCAAAGAAGCCCACAGAGCCACAGGAGGGCGTCTGAGGAGAGGCAGGGCTGTGGTGCTGAGGCCCCGGCCAGGGCACTTACACTTAGTCACCAGGAGCTCCTCGAAAGCCTTGATGCCCTGGGCAGCCTTCTCCCGCGTCTCTTCATTGGCAGGAGGCCCCTGCCGGGCAAAGCAGTGTCACACCGTGGACAGAACCAGGTATGCGCACCTCACGGGCCAAGCATGTCGCTCTGGGGCCTCACTAAGACTCTGGAGCCCTTTCCCTCAGCCTCCTCGAGCAGCTCGGCCACGTGGGAGGCCTGGCACCAAACACTTGGGCCCAGAGCTACTCCCTGGTGAGTGGCTGGGGGCCGTGAGGAGAATGGGGTGGGATCAGCGGCTCCACAGGACCTCGCTACCAGGCTGCCACGATTCTGCCAAGCTGCCCCACCCATGGTGCCACCTCTTATGGAAATACCCCCGGGGTTCGTCTGTGGAGCAGAGGTCAGCTTGCCATATTCCAGGGCTGGAGACCCTTTCACCACTGGCAACCAAAAAGAATTTGAAGGAGGCTGGAGAATATCACCCCTAACAATCCAAGGGAATTCACAACACCCACAGCAGGTATGGAACCGAGAGCTCCTTCCCATGCAGCCTGACCCCCCCTCTCTGCCCTCCCTAATGAGAGCTGGGCCCCTGCTACTCACCACTCCGGTCACCCTGTCCTTGAAGTAGGGCTTCATGAAGTGCCCTATGTACAGATTCGGAGGCAAGCTCTTGCCGTCCTTCACCTTGGAGGCTTTGGATCCTGCCAGGTCACACATGATCTCCTCCTGTGGCAGATACAAGGGGCCCATCTGGGGTCAGGCAGCAGCAACTCCCTTTGTGAATGGGACCCGGGCAGTCAGGGAACAGACATAGCTCAAAGCCCTGTTCTGGAGTGTCTGGCCATGGGGGTTCTGAGGGCCAGGCCCTGTCCTACCTGCTGCTCCTGGTTCTGGGCCAGGAGGAGGCTGACCTCTACCAGCCTCTCCTGGATGATCTCCTGGTAGACCATGTTCAACTGCAGGCAGGTCTCTGGGTCTTCAGGAAGGGTCTTTTCCTTGGGGTCATCCTCACCATTGCTGGCCTCACCCCACCTCTCCTCTTCCTGGTTACAGGCGGGAAACTGCAGGTGAGGAAGGAGGCATGCAAACGCTGCCCACCCCCGTGACCCAGGGCGGCACAACGAGCCTCTGAGCTCACGCTCTGGTCCTTGGGCCAGCAGGAGACCACCCTGATGTGGGACTATGTCCAGCATGTGCACGTTCCACAACTTAAAACAAAGAAAACAAACATCTGGAAATATATCTTGAGTGGGAAAGTATGAAAAGCTAAATACTGTCCACTTCCCACAATAAATATTTCTATGGAACTCAAGGCTCAGAACGGGCTCGTGTGCCCTCGTCACTGGCAGGGGACGGTGAGCCCCAACACGTGTGAGGACGGCCACTGCAGCACCAGCAGGACTAAAACCCAGGAACAGTGGGCGGGACCGTCAGGTGAGGAACTATAGTAAACCTAAGCCAGGGGCACTACCCGGCCGTTAAAAATCAGAATCAACCCTGTACCTGCTGTTTCCGCGAAAAAACAAAAAATAAACTGTAAAAATTCTTCAAATTAACATGAAATTCTAAAATAAACAAAAAGTAGCAATAAAAACTGGCCTGACTGAGAGACTATGTGCCAGGCACCGTCCTGGGCAATCACACACACGGACTGACTTGCGCTGTGAGTACCCCACTGCACGCTGGAAACTGAGGCACAGACAAGCAGGCTACAAGGGGCCAGACCCAGGCAGCACGCTCAAAACCTTCCACGTGTGACGCCATGCCCAGACACACATGTCAGGAAACACAAACGCCAAACCTCGGACAAAGGTTATCCTAGGAGCAATTCTAATTCTGGTGGCAAATACTTTGAGACACGTCACTTCCAGTAACACACACACAGAAACACCGAGACGTGCTCACAGCACTCCCCCCTTGGTCTTGGGCCCACTGGCAGGGTGGAGTCTGCCTTGGTGGGCACCACAGACAGCCCCGGCCAGTAGTTACCGAGCCTGGGGAAGCAGCAGCCTCTGAGTCCTCCTCTGCCAGTGAATCTGTGGGAACACAAGCACACCGTGTGGGTGACCGGCAACAGGACTCTGTATCTGCTAAAGAGATGACCAGCAGGTGTGGCACAGGGTCTTTCCTGATGGCCACAGGCGGGGGAGGGGCTGAAAGGCCTCAGGACAAAACTGGACCTTCCTTCCCCAGCAGCCGGTGGCTGAGCACTACTCACTGACTCGGCAGGAAAGGCCCTGAACTGATGGCAGGGTCAGCCAGAGAGGGAAGACACACCAGGACCACGAGGGGAGGCCTCGAAGGAGCCAGCCCTGTGCTGGGGGTGCTGGAGTTAGTCGGGGGCGGGGGCAGGGCCGAGGCCCTGATTACAGGTGAAAGGCAGCCCTGGCGTAGTCCGAAACCCTGAGAAACAGCCTCAGAGCTGCACCCGGTGTTGGGGAGAGGCCTGAGGGCCAAGTTTCTCATAGATTCTGACCGTGTGGGCAGGCCTCCAATCAGAGCTGCGGTGAGTGGCCTCAGGGCCAGGGGAGCACCGAGGACAGCACGTGGGGGTGACACTCTGCTGTCCAGAATGGTGGCAGCGGACAAGCTGAGCTCTGGAACCTTCTGACTCCTGAGGACAGCCCGCCAGCCTCCCGAGACAGCGCGCTCACTCACAGCCAGCAGGTCCGCGGCCAGCTAAGGAGGAGCGCCAACAGGCCGTCTCGGGGAGCAAAGGCAGAGATCAGTGCGGCCGAGCACCCCGTTCGTCTGGAGGGCAGATGGACAGGGTCCAACTGTGGCCTGTGAGAGCTTACCTGCGTCAGAATCCAACGTGAGACCAGACTCCGAGACCCCCACTCCGATGCCCGAGGAAGTGGGATCCAAAATCCTCTCAAGCTCCGCGATCTCCTTTGCTATCTTCTCTCTTTCAGCGTCTACGTCCATGACTTCTGCCTGCCGCTGGGACAGATCACAGGATTTCACGGACCCGTCCTTCACACGTGCAGCCCGTGGGGGACGACAGACGCCCGACCGAAGCCGGCGGTCCCGCTCGGGGGAGCCCTGGACCATTGACCTGACACCTCCCACACCCCCGAAAACACCCAGGTTGCTCCCCTAGGCGCTGAAGCCACGTGGACGTGGCCTGCCCGCTCCGAGCCTGTGACCTAGGGGGCCGGAGAGATGGGCCCCAACGGGGCCCCAGGGCCTGGTCTCCGTCTTCCTCCGCCCGGCCGGGCACCGGGTGCAGACACGGCAGGGTGTCATCGCGAAGGCACCCCAGGACAAGAACGAGCCCCAGGCCCTGGGAAACCTGAACCCAGGAGCACAGCGGCAGGCACGGCCGGTTCCGGGGACGCAGCTGGCACGGTGTGGCGCCGGGAAGGCCGCCCCCGAGGGCAGGGACCCCGCGTCCAGAAGGGCGACAGCCTGGGAGGCCGAAGCGGGGTGGACAGCCGGGAAGAGCCGGGGGCTCATGAGGCTTCGCGGAGGAGCCGCACAGGAGCTCGGCACGGACCCGCGGCCGGAGGCCAAGCCAGAGGAGGACCCCGCCGCAGACCCACAGCCGCAGCCGCCGCGCTAGCTGCACACTCCGGGTGGAGGGAGCC